CCAAAGTCTCTCCAAAAACCTCAAGACCCACCCGAATAGTAAGGAATAAGCTTCTTTCTGCCAGTCGAGTTGGTCTATGAAGAAATTTCCACAGAAAGTCTTTTATACTAATTTTACCATTTCCACGAAAGCACTGTCTGTGTGGGTTCAAAGTATCATGTTGTGATCCTTTTTTGAGTGGGAATTCCAACCTTGCCAACCTGAACCCGCATTCATATACAAAGCCTTCTTCATCTTCTTTCGTGTCGTGTGCTCAATTGATTGAATGAGACACCGATTGGTCTTTTTTAAGATCGGGAAGATCATTTATGCGTAAAGTTGAGTAGTACGAAAAGAAAAATTTGAGAAAATTAAGGCTATTCTTCTCCTGTTTTGAACAAGTAGCGATTGAGAACAACCCTCAGTCAAGGTCGAGAGCTTAGCATCAGGATTTCGGATTTCTCTCCAAACCTACGAGGACGCATGACTGGTTGACGTGCTATTTCGCAATAGGAAGGTTCAGAAGCATGGGGATCCCATTTCTGTGCTCGGTCTTCTTCAGAAAAACGCTTGCCGTGAAGAGGAACGATGCCATTAGTTCGCTAAGTTAGAACGAAATCTTTTGCCGAAAATGTCATTGTAGGTTATCGACCACTAGGAGTTGAATGGTGGAGGTTTCATGACACAAAAAGCCTTTAGCTGACTCCTGAGAATCGATTCCAGGGTGTCCACATACTTTTGGTACGCACTGTAGTTTTGTATATGGTTAGACTCGCCACAGAGAGACGAGTCCATCGCTGTAGAGATCCAATCATTTTACCCGCTTTCGAGGGAGTTATGACGGTGCGACGGTTTGCGACGCTGCAAAACCGTCGCAACGCGTAGATGTTTCAAAAATTAGGAGCAGTATTGTATATAGAAATATTACAAAGTCCGGTGAGTGACCGCAACCGTAACACGTGACTGGTTGGCGCGCAACGTCACGTGTCATCGATTAGAATTCGACGTGCCCTTTTGTCGTTTTTCCGCGCACTCCACGGCGACAGAATGGGCGTGATAGAACCTGGCTCTTGTACGGAGCGTCCGTGCTGGTATATAGGAGGAGTATGGCAGTTGGTCGAACTTGCCGGCAAGTGGTTTGGCGGCACCCCGGGGCTAACCTCCCTTGCCCTGCGCGCGCAGCCGCAAGCGCTGCGTGTATTTTTGGATAGTCGCCCAAGGGCGGCTGTGGTGGTTGGGGGTATTGTGCACTCGCCAGCGAGGCATTATACCCTCTCACGTTGGTGCTGAAACGTGTGGGTACACAGCAGTAGTGTAGCTGCGCGCTCCAGTGCCAACGTGGATTACGGTAGCGGTCACTCATCGGACTGTTAAAATCAGCTAGTGTATTGTATCGCCTTAACGCAGTCGCCAACTCGCTTCTTCGATAAGTATCCCTTCCCAAGTGAGCGTTCAGTTCTCCTTCTAGGTCAGGTCACCGAATTCTGGATCGATTTTCGAAGCCTAGGTTCGACACGGGAACCGAAGTTTTGGCTTGAGAGAGCATCTCATATCATGTCGATTCTTGAAATCAGTTTATAAGATTGAGAAGAAGTCTAGTTTAGAGGGAAGAGACAACTTGGTTTCATTGACAAAACGAACGACTTATCTAATAGTTCGTCATCGTGTGCTTTGATAAATTACCACTGGCGCTTCACCTGTCAGTTCTTTAATTAGATCCAAACTTCAACATTCTGCTTGAAGGTTATTCCCTGACCACAAAAATTACGTTCCGTTTTATGGACGACGCAGCCTGAGGTCACAGGAATAAGCCGCTGGCTCTCATGCCGCTTTCATCTCCACGTTGTCTGTGAT